ATTTAAGAAAAAAATCAAATCCCCAAATACACTTTTACTTTGGAATTGTTATATCTCTGCACCATGTAAGTTTCTTTAAATGGATACACGAGTTAATATAACTACATAACTTTGTATTCCTAGCTTTTTGCGAAGGTGGAGGAGAATAAGAATAGTGGATGTGGATAAGGGACTGGAGCTTTTTGCCAACAATATAATATATTACTTTCATTCATTATGGACATACAAATACCTATATGCTTATTCATGTAATTTCTAGAAATCATACATGGAATAAGGATATTGTCAAAATAATGAATAGCAATCCTCAACTTTAAATTAAATAGATTTTGTAACATTGAATAAAGTTTAAATATATTTTTTTAAGATGATATTAAATTTATTCTAAACATTATTAATTGTTGTTGTTCGGAGAAAAATATTATTAAAAATCTTATATTGATTAATCATATATTATCAAAATAATGTATATATTGATCACATGTATCAATTGATGTGAGACTGTTAAATTATCCAATGATCATAAGTTGGAGTCCTAGATATACACTAGCATTCTCACACATTGACACTCATTGTTATAAGAGTTAATGGAGAAGTAGTAGTGTGCATTGCGGCTGATACCTAGGCGAAGGAGCAAATGCGTTTCTTGATTAAGTAAGACAGCATATTCTCCATGATGAAGGTGTGGTTGTTTATGGACCGTTGAGTCCTTCCTTTATGCCAAAGGGGTTAAGATCCGAACCATGAAATGCGATTACACACAAAAGAGAAGATACCCTATGGCTAGTTAGCTAGTGCGATTCAGGATTTTACGAATGGAGGGAGTATCTCTCAAACTTCTCCGGAATCATGCAAAAACAATGGATGGGGGGGTATGCAAGTGGGTTCACTCTCCATATAGCCTACACTTTCCTCCAGTGCATTACACACTTTTACAGTGCACATTCACAAATATGGCTGTGTATCAAATTAGAATTTAATCCCGTGTCACCACTTTTATATCATTTTGGAATCATGTTTCAATCGGCAATATTAACTCACAAATAGTCTCTCTCTGTTTCTGGGATGGGAGAGTGATCACATGATATAATATAATTAATTTGTGTTAGTATGGAGATGAATGAGAGATTTTTTGTGTGGTAATTAATTAAATAGGTTCTTCTTATATATAGAGACTTTTAGTTAAATAAACTTGCAATACTTTTTTACATGCTCAGTTGTTGTTAGGGTGTGTATTAATTTAATTTTCTCACTATGTTATCTATAATTTTATTTTTGTTATAGGAAAAACATGGTTCGATTCAAAGTGTTTGCAATATCTTGTTGGGTCATTTTTGATAAGTTGTCGTCAACTCAAGTACAATTTATCCAAGAGACAAATTTTAATATTTTACGGAATATATCTTGTGTGATGCGTTTTTTTTTTTCCCATTATCTTGGTGTGTTTCCTGAATAACATTTTTTTAATCAATATATTCCGTTTAATTCTTTCTTTAGAAGGAAACAAGATGTATTGTTCATTTTAATTTGACACAATGTAGTACGTATAGTCTATTTGCATTATGCGCAATAAAATTGCATTCCAACATTTGACATTTTTTTTTAAATTTTAATAGTATTTTGAACTTGATGAATGTCATGTTGTAAACATGATTTTTACGCCAAAATCACCGATTGGGAGTTGCTACGGTACCCTTAAAAGATTGAGGGATTTCAGTACATTTTCTTATGTAAATTTATAAAAATTTTAAAAAAAATAGTAATTTAATTATAAAATAAATAATTTAAATTATATTTATAAAATAAAAAATAAGATAAAATT